ATCTATCTATCTATCTATCTATCTATCTATCTATCTATCTATCTATCATAGTTAAAAGTTAAATCTTAAGTTAAAGTTACAAACAAACTTAAACAAACTTAAATAAATATTTTTAATGTACAATTTTATCTAATGCCAACTATATTTGAATATGACATAATGGTGTCATTTTCTTGTTTGTAGAGATACTAAAATATAGAAATAACATTGTAAAATAAAAAATGACACAATTCAAATCATAACATGGGATGGTAAAGTATGAAAAACACACATTGAAATCCATTAAAAGCAAGCTATGTCATCTCAAATGATATTACACTTCAGGCAAATAAGACAAGTTTAAGTGTCTCATTCAAGTCTGAAAATGAGAAGAAACATTTCAAAGAACACTGTCGAGTTGAATTTCTTTAAACAAATAAGGAAGAGTTTGGGCTTATCGACTTGGAGTTAAAGTGTAAAGAGCTGTTACTTAGTAAAAAAAAAAAAGCATTAAATAAAACCACCATTATGTTGAAATACGTTCTGTCCCTTTAATTCAATACGTCTACTTGACAAACAAGGAGTAACCAATGATCGAAACAGAGCGCTCGGAGGAGAGAATTATGTTCAGATTGTTGTGTTTGTTGACATTCAAACAGGCGACCGGGCACCGTTAGGATTGTGCTGCGAGCGGTGTGTGGGACCACACGTCCTGGAATCTGCTGGAATTTGCTGGATTTCTTTTGGCACCGGGGTTGATTCAGGGTGTACTGCTGCCCTCTGGCGGCAGAGCGGAGGAGCTGCACCGGAGCTGGGTAACCTCCTCCCCGGCCACCGCCGCTCTGTGTTTGTGTATGTGGAATGCGGGTCAAGCGGAACTCACGGCAAAAACTGCGCTACACTTCAAACTCAAACACTGGCTTGCATCGATCCGACGTGCTCCGTATGTACAGCGAAATAATATTTTTTTAACCAATTCAGTTCATGTGCATATTTAACCGAACACTCTCAGGGGGTTATTTTTGCGAGTGTACATTTCTGGTAGGGTCGCACGAGCAGTCCGCTAGAAAAACGCGACATCGTCATTTAAAATGGCGCCAAAGATTAACCTCAGCCAGTGGATTGCTAGTAAACATGTCACAGAACGATGTGCTGGTTAGGTGCACAGATACGAGAATCGACACTCATATTTATTAAAACTTCTAAACAACGTGCTTTTGTTGATTTCAGGGTAGTTTGTCTGAGTCAATATTTGACCCCTAACCTTTGACAGATAGCTGACTATAACTGTGTTTTAATGAGAGGCACAGGGAGCTATCTTAGCAGAAATTGCTAAAGCTAAACACAAACCACCGAGAATGACGCGTAGCCATCCAGCTAACAAACTAGCTGATGTTGCTAACCCCTAGCGTCAGCTAAATTTGGCGTGTTGTTTTGTGGAAGGATAAACAGGTCTAGCACGAAACGGAGTTGGTCTTATATCCCCATAACCGCTCCGTTTAATTTGATAGACGAGTCTCTTCAATTAGGTAACAAATATTATTAATAAGCTAGATAAACATTTCGACTTGGATAACCGGGTGTGTGCAGGCCCGCTTGCATAACGGCAACCAGGAATAGCAAACAGGCTAACACTAAAATGCTAACGTCCATGTCACATAATAAGGAAAATATGTGGGCTGCCTCGACGTTGAGCTTATGTTGTGTAACACGCAATGTACTGCATTCTCTTTAGTATATGTTATACTATTTATAGAGTAACTTGGAAAGCGCGGGCACAGCCAGTTGGTCATTTTGCCACTCGTTAACATTTCTACGGTTTTTGCAGTAAAACTGGGCGTCGCACAAACCGGGGGGCTAGTCCCAAGTTTAGCCAACTCGGCTAAGGCAAAGTTAGCACGTATCCCCGCGTGCGGGCGGACCCCGGGCTGATTCCACCCCTCGGAAACCCAGCCTAGAATGTCTTGATATACACAAAAAAAAAGCCGAGCCGATGACGTGGAGTCGTGTCGTGCAGCGTGGCGTTGTTTGTGTTGTGCTTATGGAAACTTGTCATCGCCTGGACGCTTGCTGCGATGTGTACGCCGTAAGATCACCAAGGAAACAGCTGATGTGGAGACTTGTTCCCCCCCCTCTCTTTTTTTTTTTGTAGAATTTTGCCCTGCTGTGGCGTTTTGCCGTAAACATGATCAGCCTCAGTTTTTTTCTCAATATAACGACATGGCATTTGTCATCAATTTAGTCCGACCTGGTGAGTTTTTGAACGTCAGAGATTCTGGGAGATGCTGACTGTCAAGCATGTTTCTCCCCTGTGTTTTTATAAAACAAATGCATTGTTTGGGTTAGTTTCAAACACAGATTTCTGGCTGCCTAGTTTTTGCCTCTGATAAACTGATACTTGTGAAAGCAATTAAGTGATTGAAATCTGTCAGCCTCTGAGTCAGACTTATATTCCCCAGATGTGTGAACTCCCCTTTTTCACAATTGTTTTTCCCCTGTATGTTTTTGTAGCCACCCGTCATCCCCTCTGTGTAGCTTAACATCCTATCTCGTTTGTGAAGTGTCCTCACGCCGGAGCTACACGAACTGACGACCATGAAAAGAAACAGGCACCCCAGCAGCAGCGATGACTCGGACAATGGAAGTAAGAGCGATAAAGAAAAAAAGCCGCAAGAAAGTGGCTCAGTCGATTTACAGATTTAGACATAAATGAAGCTGGTCCAAAGTTTAAAGAAAGTTAAAGAAAAGACTATTAGTGAACAGGTTCTGTAGTGATGCTGTAATGAAATGTTATTACTCTTTTTATTAAATTCAAGTGTTTTATAAGTAATCTTCCTTTTTTAAATGTTGTTGTTATGGAGCCATCAGAGTCACTAAGTCTGTACTCCATGTTTAGGACTGAGAAAGAAACAGGGAGAGAGACAGAAAGCCAGCAGATGGAGCAGCATTGTAAGAGACAAGAGACAGAGTAGTGACAGGAGGCGCGTTTGGACCATTAAAGACGTCCAGGCAGGTCAGGTGGACAGGCTCAAATGGAAGCTGCAGCAATAGTGACATCAGATTGGGTTTTTCCATATTGTTCAAACTGCTTGAATGATTTGTTGATTCTAATAAAAACAAAGAAACTAGCTTCATTATGACTGTTAAAACCTTTTTATGTTGATGCTATTTGATACAGAAAAAGCTCAAAATCATTAAGTTGATTTTTCTTTTAGTCTGGTCTCTTTCAGGGTTTTACTTATTATATACTCATGTGTTATTTTTTACTTTCATCATTATCGTCAACATAAGACCTTTTGTGAGGTGTGGGCGTCTATCAGGTGACCTTAGATGCTTTTTATGGCTGCTTGTAATTTCAAAACTGAGCTGAACTGAAACTGAAAACAGAAAGAGTCCCACCTGTATCATTTTACTTATTAGTGACACATTTCTGGTATGTCTGGATGTCACTCATTCCCCTCCCTTTGTGGGAGTTGGTGGTGCTATTGTGGGTAGGGGTAGGGGACAGTTGAAAATGCCGACAGCCTTAACTTCCGGTAACACTAACTGGTGCTTCTCGCTGTAGGTAGTTCGACATGCTGGTCTCAACACTCGCACCACAGAAGGGGAACGGGACACAAGCCCTCGGAGGTAGGATCTGCGAAATGCATGCAGGCTTAGGTTAATGACCTCTGTATTTAGTACTCTGCAGTCTTCGTTTTTTGTTTGAAGAAAACACAGATGTAGAAAAAAAACCTGTCCGTCAGCACATTTGCAGGATGGGCCTTTATATTAAGTGGGACGTGCATCAAAGGCTCGCTATCTGAGGGCCACAGTCCATAGTGAGCCCTTTAGATGGAAACATTTCCTCCGTTATCTGCCGAACAGCGTGTGGACTTGGTCCCTGCCAGTAGCAGGCCCCGCCCCTGGAGCAGAAAGCCAATTGAATTAAAGAAAAACACAGACTCTTGCCAAGACTGAAAACCCTATTGGCTGGTTTTTAAGTTGCACAGCTACTGGCTAAGTAAATCACTTTGAAAAGAAGTACATAACATAGACATATAAGCTTCATATGTTCATATACTATATCATTTTGCACTGTGTTTCTCTACTTTTAAAGTTGTGGGATATATTCAACTTTATTATGGAATTATGGTTCATTCTGTTGCTGGAGTTTTAAGCAAAAAAACAATCACTAAAAGGTTTTAAAGATTATGTTTGGGCTCTGTTTCTAAATGGAATGAATGTGTGCGGCAGGTTTTCAGGACAGACTTGATCACAGCCATGAAGTTGCACGACTCGTATCAGCTGAATCCCGAGGACTACTACGTCCTCGCCGATGCGTGGCGGCAGGAGTGGGAGAAAGGCGTCCAGGTTCCCGTCAGCCCTCAGTCCATCCCACAGCCTGTGGCCAGGTAGGACAACCGGGCGATGGAGCGTTCCCCAAAAAGGAGACTCTGCTTAATGGGCGGGGGCTCAGAGAGGCTCTCGTATTCATTGAAACGTTCCGTGTGGCAGAGAACTGGCCGAGAAGGGAAAGGAGGTCATGTTCGTCCGGCCAAAGAAGTTGATCCGCACCTCGGGCGCCGAGGTGCTGGGCTACGTGGACATCCGGACGCTGGCCGAGGGGATGTGCCGCTACGACCTGAGCGAGGAGGACGTGTCCTGGCTGCAGGTCATAAACCAGGAGTTTGCGGAGATGGGTGAGTCGCCGGGTCCGTGGACGCGAAGTCGAGCTGAAACGAATCCAACCGAGATGTCTCACGCCGTCTTGGGGGGCTTCCAGCCCTGCCGCCGCTGGACGAGATCACCATGGAGCGGGTGATGGAGGAGCTGGAGCGCTGCTGCCACGAGAACATGTCGCACGCCGTGGAGACGGAGGAGGGGCTGGGCATCGAGTACGACGAGGACGTGGTGTGCGACGTGTGCCAGTCGCCCGACGGCGAGGACAACAACGAGATGGTGTTCTGCGACAAGTGCAACATCTGCGTCCACCAGGTCAGAGGCGGACACGGGCGCTTTCGAAGCGGGTCCCTCCCCGGGGGTGGATTAGGGAGCTGGGCTTGACCAGCCGCGCGCTGCCTCTCTCTCCAGGCGTGCTACGGCATCCAGAAAGTCCCCAAAGGCAGCTGGCTGTGTCGGATCTGCGCGCTGGGGATCCTGCCCAAGTGCCAGCTGTGTCCCAAGAAGGGCGGCGCCATGAAGCCAACCAGGAGCGGAACCAAGTGGGTCCACGTCAGCTGTGCCTTGTGGATTCCAGAGGTGAGGGTCGGGCCCCGGCGCCCTTTTTTTTCTCCAAATGTTCTAAATCCTTCATGAGTCTGAACGGGTGTGGTTCTTTTTGTGGTGACTCCGCCCGAGCAGGTGAGCATCGGGAATCCAGAGAAGATGGAGCCAATCACCAACGTGTCCCACATCCCCAGCAACAGATGGGCCCTAATCTGCTGCCTGTGCAAAGAGAAGACGGGGGCCTGTATACAGGTACGGCCAACATCTACAAATGGAAGTACCTTATTTATTGAGCAGGGAAGGCCTTAAACAAACACATCAAAAGACTAAGCATCATGTAATATGTGCCACCAAAGTATTTACTTTCGTTGGCTAGTTCTATGCCCCCTAACAATGTGGCTCTGCAGCACTACAGCAGAATTTCTGCACAGAACTGGCTGTGAATTTTACATATTTAAGGTGCTAAATGACCAAAACAGTGCTGTATAACTTGATTAGCTTTCGGCCATTAATGTACAGCTTCTCATTATGAGTTGCGTTTTTTTCTGAAAACCAAATTTTGGAGTCCGATTCTTGGTTTGAAAAGGATAAAATCCATCCCTCAGAAGGTGAATCTACGAGAGGGAAGAGATGGGCGTGCCCACGATTAGTTTCCGGCCTTTGTTTTGGGCCTGAAAAGTGTTGTATACTAGACCGGTAGATGTTAGATATGTCACAGTGGCTCGCAGTGTTGGAATCGGCCTGTTTAATGTCCGATACTCAAACGTCCTCTGCTGTGTTCTGCTCCCCAAGTGCTCGGCCAAAAACTGCCGGACGGCTTTCCACGTGACCTGCGGCCTCCACGCCAGCCTGGAGATGAACACCATCCTCACCGAGGACGACGAGGTGAAGTTCAAGTCCTACTGCCCCAAACACTCGGGGCTGGAGGGCGGCGAGCCCAAAGACCGGGACTCGGGAGACGAGGAGGAGGAGGAGCAGCGGGAGAAGGAGAGGGAGGGCGCCAGGGACAGGAAGGGGAGGAGGCGGGGCCGGGTGAGAGGGGAGGACGGCGCCGCCGGCCTCTCCCCGCCGCCATACGCCGACCGCCCCCCCGCCCTCAGCCGGGAGGAGCTGAGCAGCCGCCAGCAGGAGAAGCGGGTCAGCCTGCGCAAGCTGAAGCTGCAGGAGATGGAGGAGGAGTTCTACCAGTTCGTGGCGGTAGAGGAGGTGGCCGGCAGCCTGAAGCTGGCGCCCGAGGTGGTGGACTTCCTCTACCAGTACTGGAAGCTCAAGCGCAAGGCCAACTTCAACCAGCCGCTGCTCACCCCCAAGAAGGACGAGGAGGAGAGCCTGGCCCGCCGCGAGCAGGAGGTGCTGCTGCGCCGCCTGCAGCTCTTCACCCACCTGCGCCAGGACCTGGAGAGGGTAGGTGTCACCCCCCCCTCCCCCACCCGGGACCCCCGCCCACAGGAGCACACAGGGCAGCAGATGGCCGGCATCCCGGAGGAGGCCGGCTGACTTCTGAATAAACACAGTTTTTTCTCATAAGATCCCCCTGAGAAAGAGGAGTGACAGCTTGTAGTGTTTATATCTCACAGAAAAAAAATAAACAAAACAAACAGGAAGCTTAAGATACAGGGAAAGCAGCAGGACAGAAGCGTATTGGTCAGCAGGACACGCACGTCTTTACAGAAAAATCGACCAAATACCGCTGCACGGTTAGACCCTGGTCCATCTTTACGCAGGTTTTAAAAAAGGGATGTCCCGATCCAGCTTTTTGCACTTCCGATCCAATCCCGGCCTATCAGAGCATGTATTAAGGTTTAAAGTTATTTAGCCTACTTACTTAGTTGTCAGACTCATGTTGAACAGGGATGTACTCTGATAAAAACTTAATGGTTAGGACACAGACCTGTGGGTTAGGAGATGCTAATGCTTGTGTGGGATCGAATTTAAAAAAAAAAAACTGGATCGGGAGTCTGGTTAGACAGATACGCATTTTTTTTGCAAATATCGGTGGCTGATCCGGTCCAGATATTGGATCGGGACAAGCCTAGTCTAAAACGACCCTGACCAGGTCCTGGGTGGGGGCCGCACTGGTGTTTCCACGTAAGGACACCCACAGAGGAGGTTTTAATAGCTGCTCCAGAAAATATCCCTAACCGGGGGGCGGGGGGAAGCTGTCCCGTACTAATAAAGGATGCTCCATAAAAAAGACGGCTCCAAAACTCGCACCTTAAATAAATAATAAAAAAAATAAGCGAGTGTGTCCGAGCCGTCTGAGTATCCTGAGGGGATTTCTGGAGCCGTCTGACGGCGTGCTGCTGCTGCTGCTGCTCCGCAGGTCCGGAACCTGACCTACATGGTGACCCGGCGGGAGAAGATGAAGCGCTCGCTGTGGAGGGTCCAGGAGCAAATCTTCCAGCACCAGGTGCGGCTGCTGGACCACCAGCTGCAGAGCGGTGAGTGGCCGGCCGCGTCCGGAGCCGCGAATCCGAAACCCCCGAATCGCGTCGGAATCTAAAGCCCGTTCCCGTCCCCGTTTTTTTTTCCAGGCGACCCGTCGGCGAAGGAGCTGGAGCGGCTGCTCTGGCCGGGCTGGCCATCTTCTCAGGGCTCCCAGTTCGGCCCGGCGTGGGGCCGCACGGGACTGAAAACCAAAAGAGGCCCGCAGAGGCGGGACCGGCGGAAGAGCGGCGACGGGCGGAGCCCGTGCGACCGCAGGGACAATCACGGCAAGGCGCCGGAGGCCAGGGAGGGCCGGGGCCCCCGGCCGGCGGGGGCCGAAGCCGACCAGGGAGCGCCGTCTACAAAGCCCCACAAGCCAGAGGCCACTCAGGAAACGGTCAAGCCGCACAAGGCCGAGGGCAGGAAGGGCCCGAGGAGGGAGGAGCAGGAGCAGGAGCAGGAGCAGGAGCAGGAGGAGGAGGAGAGAGGGAGGAAGAGGAGGGGCGAGGCCAGCCCCCCCTGCCAGGCCAGGAGCAGGTTCGGGCCCAAGCACCTGGAGAAGACGGTGTCCATCCGGCTCGTGGACATCCGGAACTCGGACTCAGAGGAGTACTTTAGGGACGATGGCCTGGTGAGGCGGGGCCCCGTGTCTCCGCCCGCCCCGGAGGCGCCCGCCGCCCTCAGAGCCAACGGCTGGCCCCGGAGGGCCCCCAACGGAGCGGCGGGGGCCAACCTGAAGAGCTGGGGCAAGTTCCGGATCCCCAAGCGGAGCGAGAAGCCCCCGAACGCACCGCCGCCGGAGCCGCCGCGCAAGCCCCTGCTGCGGCCGCTGACCAACACGCCCGAGCCGTCCTACCCCAGGACGCGGCTCCGCACCGGCGCCGAGAACGAGGGCTACCCGGAGCCCAACGCCGGCGAGGGGGAGGCGGAGCCCTGCGCCAAGCGCTGCCACTCCCACGAGCTGCGCGGCGAGGCGGCGCTGGGCCGCCGCTACGGATCCGACATCATCCGCCGCGGCGTGCTGGCCTCCTGACGGCGCCGCGAACCCTTCCAATAAGCTGCACTGCGTCCGGTCGGAAAAGAACGACAGTCTTGCATCTTTGTACTTTTTTCTTTTTTCTCTTTTTTTTTTTTGTTTTTTCACAAGAAATCACAAGATGGCTAGATTTAAAGCAAAAAAAAGAAAAAAAAAACTATAAAAAAAAAACAGAGCTGATATTTATTTTTTATGTGTAACATAATGTAAAAGTGGGAAATATTTGACTTTATTTTGAGCTAGTTTTTATTTTCTATTCCCGTCAAGTAGAAAGATGTCAAGTTGCCACTTAAAAACGCTTGCTCGGAAAATTACAAGCATCGACTAGTAGGGAGGGGTCGGGACCTCGTGGGACCATAAAGCTTGCAAAGGTGTCATTTGTGTTTTGACTTTAGTATTAAAGCCGGCCATGTGCCACTTGCACATATAGAGGAAAAAAACAAACACAAAAAAAAAAAGCTCAAACGGATAATCCCGATCATGACAGCGAACGAGACTCTGTCGGCCTTCGTTTTAAAAAAAATGAAAAAATATTAAATAATCCAGCTTCATTTGATGTTAGGCGCAAAATAAAGTAAAAAAAAAACTAAACAGGAAGTCAAACGGCCATTTTTCTTCTCTTTTTTTACTGCTACTCAACCTGGTTGGGACGCTACCAGAAAAAAAAAAAAAGGTTACGAACTGGAAATCCGCAAAAGAGGAAGAATGGAGGAAAAAAACAAAACAATGTACCTGTCAGCACTTAAGTATAATTGAACTGAGATCGTATCCATCATGTGCCTAACTTTTATTTGAAGCGTTTGCACTACGAGAGGACGGCACAGGTGGGATATATGGGGAGAGTTATTTTTACACTGAAAACTAAATAGATAAAAAATGGAAGCATTTTGTACCCTCGGCCGCTGCTGTACTACTGTTATGCAAAACGAAATTTTTTGAGGGGTTGTTTGTCTTGAAGAGGAATAAAAGTAAAAAAAAAAATTTACATGGTCTGATTGTATCTTTTTTATGTTTTTTGGTTGAGACTATGATGCTCAGAAGGAAGGTTTCCTTACGATACCATGAAGTTTCTACCCCCATGCTTTACAGTTGTGATCGTACTCCCAATAATTCATGTGCAATTTGAAAAAAAAAAAGTTTGGAAAGTACATTTAAACCCTTAGTGTTTATTTTTGTCTGGATTAAGCAGTAGTTTTCTTATAAATAATATCTTTCAAATGATTTTTTTCTGTTTATGCCATTTAAAAAAAAGAAGATACTCAAAACTTGTGTGAATTGCTTTAAAATGTTTGCTTTAAAATTAAATATGCTCTTGTTTTTAGGGATGATTGCTAAAGATATGTTTTTCTGAAATTAAACATATGGATTGCTGTCCTGGAAGTCTCATCAGGCCACTTGAAGGAACGAATCAGAGCAGAGGGTGAACAACCTCCCTGACTAGCGGTTCTAATTTAAAGTTCCAGTTTAAAGACCGTTTTGGTGGCAAAGTCATGCACAAAAAACAAAACAAATCTGATATTGAAGCTTATTGAAGCCAAAGTTCAGTACAGATGTCATCAAGTAAGTCAGAGGCCGTAGAAAAAAATCATAAATAAAAGAAGACAGAATTTGACCAAACGGGTCACCTTTGCCTTTCGATAATAAAAACAACATTCCAGGGATCAAAATGGACGTTTGACCACTTTATTGCACGATTCAACTGATGTGAGATCCTGCACAAGTGTTTCAGCACTGCATAAAGAAAAAAAAAAAAGTCAAGGAATTGTATATTTACAATAGATGCATCACTATGACCACTTATACATTATGTACATATTAGTCTCTGGTTTGCTATGACAGTAGTTACAAATGACACTTCAGCTCTACAGGGAATTACAGTGCTTACAAAAATAACTGGACTACATTCACTCAACAAGGTTAGAATGAAGAACGTTAGAGAGGAAGAAGAAGAAAAAAAAAAAAAAAGGATGATACGTGGTGCACTTATGGACATCGTCCCCTTCAAATGCCCTGGGAGAAAAAACGATAAATCGGATTTTTTTTAAAAAGGTGCGGGTTCTCTTTCAGAAAAACAGAGTGGGTTATATGGAAAATGCCCCAAAAAGAAGTCACTTCCTCAGAAAAAGAGACTCTGACTTGGAAAAAACCCCTAAAAAAACTCCACTTACCCAAAACAGGGCAGCGACACTGATCATACGGTCTCTTCAAAGATCTAAGCAGCAGCATGTAAAGATGATGAATTTTAGACTTTCAGCAGCTTTTTGGGCCCGATCTGAAACCCGGACCGGTTTCCCCGCACAGAACCGGCTTCTGGCCCACGTTGGGCTAAACGGGCACATGAGGGCCCTAAAACTAAAACGTCCTGTGGATTTAAAAAAAAACAAAACAAAACACTGAGGGGTTTTTCTTCTTCTACGGATTCCAGATATCGCAGGGTTCAGTCATCGAAACCTTAAAAAACTAAAACAAAAACAAATCTTACACACTTCAGCCATCGAAACGGCCGAACTTTGGCTAAAACAACCTCAGCCTCTCGTTAATGTTGACCATCATCATCATCATCATCATCATCATCATCATCATCATCGTCCCATCGAAAGAGAAACTTAACATCTTCAACCTCCCAGTAGTGTTTTTCCTATCAGGCTAAGAGTTGTAAAAAAAATACCTTTAATACTTTAATAACTTTTGCAGAATCTCTTGGACTCTGGCAGGGATTCAGAGCCCAATTATTCAGCACCTTTGTTTAAAAAAAACAAACAAAAAAAACAGGAAAAAGAACTGAACTAAAACAATACAACAGGCAGTAAAATAGCCGACCTGTCTACAGTTACGTGATCTATGGCTACACAAATAAGCACAGAGGTCCTCTGAAGCCTATCCGTAGTGTCTTGGTGTCTGACATTACATCTGGTGTATATATATATATATACTATATTTATATATATATATAAAAATAAAAATCCATTTGGCAACCTGCTTGATGTCGAACACTATCCCAGGAATCACCCTTTTGGTTTGTTGTTATACACATATATAGATAATAGCTATAAAACTCTGCTGGTCGGGGTGGGGGGGCGGCTGGCTGAGACTCTAGCGTCCCCCCTCCTCCCCCCCCCACACTTAGGCTGCATCGGATCGTTTGGGGCAGAAAGCCACTCGTTTTGTTTCGATGATCGAGAAACAAAACGCGATGAGGATGAGGGGTCTTTCTCTTTTTCTTTTCTCCTCTGGCTGGGACAGCATCCGTATCTGCTGTTCCACAGGGGGTCGGGCCTCAGTGCAGACTAGAAAATGGTTCATAAAAAAGAAAAAAGAGGGGGGTGGGGTTGGGGGGGTGTAGGAGTTGGAGTTGGTGTTGCTGGGCTGTGGCGGGCCAGCAGCTTTCCCTGATGATGAACGTGTACAGTGCCTCGGTTTGTGAGATTGTTAAGGTTACGTCGTGAATGAGGGTGGGAGCGGTCTGGAGGGGGGGGGGGGGTTCTGGTCTCTGGTTTCAGGCCTCGGCCGCTTTCCTTTTGGAGCCCCTGGTTTTGGCCTCGGCCCCCTCCAGCTTCCTGGAGCCCTTGGGGCGGCCCGTGATGGCGCCCGTGGTGGTGGCGGCGGGGGGGCCGGTGGTGGCGGCGGTTTGGGAGCGGGCGTCCGGCCCCTCGGCCCCCTCCAGCTCGTCGTGCTCGGCGCAGCACGGCTGACCAGTGGGCGGCCAGGCTCGCAGCGCCCCCTCCTGGTGCGCCTTGCAGAAGGAGTTGGGGCAGAGCTGGCAGAAGGCGTCCGAGTTCTTGCCGCACACGTCGCAGTGATGCCACGGGCAGTCCCAGCGGCCTGGGGGGGGCAAACGGGGTCAGAGTCAAGCACTTTTCCATTGTTAATTACCATTAAAAGGTACACGGTGTAGGAATTTCTCCCAGCTAACGGTGAAAGTGTATTTTGCATTCTAAAAAAAAAATCGCGTTTTCAAATGGGTATCGCAACTACGGTCAAGAAGTCACATGACCTGATGATGAGGTTTGTAATTTAAAAGAAATGCATTGAATCGGTGTTAGCATGTATCTACGCCTGGAACAATACAGCTGGTTTCAGTCACGTGGCTCTGGCTCTGAACAAAAACGTGTTGTGGATTAGCTAGACTGGTAGACTAGAGCTTTATGCACCTCTCCGCATTTTTCAAAATGGCGGAAAGACTTGGAAACCTGTGTGGACTTACCCGTCCTGTGTCTATACAGATGGGAAATTCTCCACTTATGAGGAGTCAGATTATACACCAAATGAGGACAGTCATAAATGAAGAAAAATTATTTTAGCTAATAAAATACTTTTAAAATACTACACCAGGGAAGTCACAATCCAGTCCTCGAGGGCCGCTTTCCTGCAGGTTTTCGACATTTTCCTGCTTCTGCACACCTGATTCTTATTAAATTGGATCTCCTCTGGACATTGTTGAGCTTTGCACCTGTCTAATTGCCCTTTGATGTGAATCAGGTGTGTTGAAAAAGGGTTACCTCTAAAACCTGCAGGACAGCGGCCCAAAGAGGACTGGAGTTTGACACCCCTGTAACTACACGGTGCCCCTTTGACGGATAAACGCAAAAACAGAGAGCCTGGTTGCTAAGGTGACGGCGTCCGCCCTCACCAAAGGGCCTCTTTGTGAGGTTGAGGCAGGACAGGTGGTAGGCTTTGGTGCAGGTCTTCTTGTCGCACAGCACCAGCTGCCCGCCGTCCCCGCAGCGGAAGCACTCGTCATCAGACTTCTTCTTCCCCTCGCTCCTCCTCCTCTTGTACTTCCTCTTCAGCCTCTTCCCCTTGGGCTCGGCCGCCTGGCCGCTGGAGTTCTGTGGAGGGGAGGCGGCGGGTTAGGGCTGAGGCGGGTTAGGGCTGAGGCGGGGGGGGGCTCAGAGCGTGGAGCCGCTCTCTCTCACCTTGGGCCGGTCTCCCAGGAAGCCGCTGCAGTTGGGGGCGCCGCAGCGGCAGATGGTCTTCTCGTTCCCGAGGCAGTCCAGGTTGTAGTTGAAGGTCAGCTCGGTTCCTGAAACACGGACACATTCACGCGAAAACAAATTAACAAAAAACACAGGCGGCTGACGTTCCGGATTCCACAATTTCGGCCTCTGGTGTTTTCTTTTTAACCAAACTGGGCCGACTTTGCCATAAAATTTAACCAATTAAATTTCCATCCAGCGGACTGATAACAATATAGTGGCTATAACAAAATTCATTAAGTTAGAAGCTTGTTCGATGCTCGAATGATTCCTAAGCGGGGGTTATAAATCAAAGAGAGACAAACACTTCGGTGTACAAATGCTGGGGTAAAAAGCAGCCGATTTAAGCCTGGAGCTTCTTAAAGGTCTGACAAAATAAAAAAGAAGTCTGGATTTCGAGCGGTCTCACCTGCGGGTATGTCGCAGACGGCAAACAGGCCCACGCGCGTGTCCCCGTTCACCGTCCACTTCTGGGTCTCGCAGTTGGGCTGGCAGCTGTGGTTCATGAAGCGCGAGTAGTTTCCTTTGGGGCCGGCGTCGATGATTCGGTCCTTAGGGGAGAGAGGGGAGGCGCCGGTTTGTTCCTTTTCGAGGACGTTTTGGGGCTCCTGCGGCCGTGGTCAGTCTGTGGTATTGGCTACTGTAACGCCGCGGCTGTGGTCAGTCTGTGGTATTGGCTACTGTAACGCCGCGGCCCGCTGTGCTGCGACATTCCCAATGCAATACGCTGCCTTTCTGTGGCTCCCAGGTGAGCGGGCGCTGCGACGGGGAACGCAGCGCCCCCGACACCCCGAGGAGCAGCTATATGCTGATACAGCAGAACCTCTACGTACCAATTTAATTCGTTCCGGGACCTACTTTGTATGTTAAAATACTTGTAAGTTGCTTCAAAAATTCCCATTAGAATTCACTGTAATTCGTATAGTTTGTTCCACAGCCCAAAAACCTACGATAACTCCTCAATAAAGACTGCAGATGATTACAAATAGCAATAAAACAAATGCATTACATAAGATAAATAAATGATAAAGAAATAATTAATAAAAGGGGTTTTTAATGGCACTTATTGGCGAATGGAGGTGTAGGCTTGGGTATGCAGGAGACGGCCAGTGTGGAGGTAGAGCTGGAGACTGAGATACAGTATGTACCGTAACTTACTCCAACTTTCACTACGTTAACTTTAAACTAACCTAGCTTTTTTTTTCTACGACTTTGACGTCTTCCGTCAAAGCCGTATGTTCGGTGTCGAGTCAAATATTTGATCGAATTTTACTTTGGATGTTGGAAAATTGGTATGCTTAGGCAATCGTAAGTAGAGGTTCTACTGCATATGGCTTTCAGAGAGCAAAACAAACAGCCTCTCACCTTGTCGATGGTCAGCATGTAGAAGTTGGTGATGTTGTTCTCGTGGGCGTGATTGATTCTCGCCCTGCACTCTTCCTCGTCGATCAGCTCGCCGATGTACTCGTTGACAAACTCGCCCTTTGAAAAACAGGGGGAAAAAAACAATTGGTACTCTTTTTCTTGGAAAACATTTTCCTTTCGGGCGATGTTCTCGGAGTTATACATTTTTTTAAAAAAAAGCCACCTTCTTGATGTCCCGCAGAGAAATGAGGCCCCAGCCTTTGCCGGGCGTCTTGATGATCTTGGTCTCCGGGTAGAGGCGCTGGGTGAAGTCCTGGTTGCAGCAGCGCTCCCCGCTGGGACACACCTGCGGGTGGCACTCGTACTGCAGCATGCGGTTCAGGCACTCCGACTCGAAGCCGCACGGCCGCTCCCCGCTGGGCTTGCAGTTGCACTTGGGGATCTCGGAGACGTCGGCGGTGTACACCTGGACTTTGCCGAAGGGTTTGTTGACCTGATCGGACGGAGACGGGGGTGTGGGGGGGAGACAAGGTGAGCTGGGTGGGGTTTATCCAGCTTTGCATATAAAGCGTGTGGGGGCGTTTGGCACCTTGATGGATTTGTACGGGGGCGGCTTGCGGCTGTTCTCCTGAGCCTCCTTGGCTTCTCGCTTGATCTTCATCTCCTTAAATCGAGCCTCGGCCTCCAGCAGAGCTGAAGGTAGAAACACAGGGAAAGATTGCTGGTCCATCCTTCAGCCTCCACATATTTACTCGGCGGGTTTGCAAGCACACCGATTTTGCGGTAAGCTCTCAAAGAGTCTTTGTTTTCCCCAAAAAATAAATCCAATATCAAAGTACTTTACCATTCTTAAAGACTTTGCCGATGCCGGTCCTCTGATGCTTGCTGCCCCTGTCGCCTTCCATGTAGGGGAACACTCGGCCCTGGTGAGTCCAGAAGTAATCCTTGGAGCCAAAGAAGAAGACCGGAAACTCTCCAATCTCGTGCCGAAGGTGCTGGATGTTGGTGGGGATGTTTCTGGGGTGGTGGATCTCTGCGGGCCACCACCTAGCGGGGAAAGGGGAGCAGAAGGAGAACGGCTCAGACCAACAACATCCAGGGGAGGGGAGGGGTTCATGGACCTCAGGCACTGCCGGCTGATGGTGTCCGCACCTGTACGTCCCCAGTTTGACCCATATGATGTCTCTGTACTTGGGTTTCTTGCCGGCTCGGCAGTCGTTGCAGAACCAGCTCCCGTCGGGCATGGCGATGTTCAGGCAGTCGGGGTGGAAGGCCGCCGGGCACGACTCGCAGCACAGCAGCTGTCCTCCTGCAGAACGGAAAGAGAGCGGGGCTCAGAAATTAGCCCTGGCCTTCCTGCAACTCCAAGAGAGAGCCGGCAAAAAAGCAAGGATTTGGTTCGTCTCTGTGTTTTAAACTGGGAAATTAGGACGCATTGGTGCTACTTAAGCATCTGCGAAAAAACAAAACACTTTTTACTTTATATAATTTTCAGCAACAGCTTCTAAATATTAGGAGATAGCAAAGTCTCCTGCAGGCTTCGGTATCAGCACATTCTGAAAAAACATTTAATCTCGATCATAATCATAATCACTCATCCATGGTGGGATCAGAAGTCCCGTTTTAAAACCGCGGGGCGACCGACCTTTGGAGCACACGAAGCACCAGCTCACGTTGACGTGACTGTGGTGGCTGTAGCCCTTTTTGGCGTTGAAGTGGTTGGTGCAGACGATGGCGGTGCTGGTGATCATCTCGCTGCCGGCTGCCACGCACAGGTCGCCCATGTGGTACGCCACGGGACAGCGGAGGCACCGCATCAGCCGCCCTAAAGCCCGGATGGAGAGGGCACAAACAAACAAAGAAAAACCCCACCTTTAAACATCGCTGCCGAATGGCTCGATGTAAACAAAGATTTTAGTAACGGATGACTGCGTTCCAGTCAGTTATAAAACATTACACAAAACCAAAAACTCAAAATATCCATTTTAAAAAATGTATGCAATATAGTATACATTTTTTAATTTACATTTTGATATTTGGAGTCGGCTTTAATCTCGCTGTGCATGTGTATAATGACTTTAAAAGGCTTTCCGATTCTCAGAGGACTGCAGCCTATTGCTTGTCAAGTTTTCAAACGAGTGGAGGGATGAAAATCTTAAAATTAAACTCGGATAGGTTGGTTTAAGTCCAACACTCATGGTTTTCTTATGGGGAATGTATGGGAAATAAAAAAATAAAATAAAAAAAAGAGAATAGATGGTGTTTTACTCCATCTTTTGAGTCATGGACTTTTCATGGACTGCCCTGACATAGAATCAACGCCTTAAGGATTCCTCGCCGTCGTTGAAACAATAAAAACGACAAGGCTCAGTGGTTTTTCGAGGCTCACCCTTGTTGGACCGTTGCTTGGTGTGACAGCCGTAGTGGCAGCTGAGGCAGGTGTGCAGCGGGCAGCGGAAGCCCTTGTTGTCGAACACGGTGAGGGGGTTGAGGCGGACGCAGGCCTCGTGGTAGAACTTGCCGCAGTGTGGGACGTGGCAGCGCCGCACCTCGCCCTCCGGCTGCTTGCAGATGAAACACGAATGAACTCCTGAAAGAGGGAGAAGAAAGTCAAAAGTAAATTCAAACAATGTGGGAATATGCTGGCGGTGTGCGTGTGTAGGGGGGGGTCAAAGGGCAGTGGACTGTTTACGCACCGGTGCTGCACGACTGGCAGAGCAGCTTGTCGTCCAGTGTGAGGCACAGACCCAGACAGTGGAGGTGAAACATGCCGCAGCACTGGCCTTCACACGGCACCAGGTCCTCGCCAGCCTGCTCACAACTCTGGAGAACACACACACACACATTATTTATGGAAAAGCATTGTTTTAATGCTGTATACCAGAACTCATAGGACGAACAACAACAAAAAAGGAACCCGTGAAAGCCCTTTAAAAAAAAAACTACAACATACTGAAGGAGCACAGCTACCTGACACACAAATTCCTTCTTCCGTTCACCCTTCTTTGTCCCATCTAAGCTGTCGCTTGGAGAATCGGGACGTTCTTCACTCCCAGAACCCTGCAGAAAACAGCGCAACACTCGGTGAGTAAAGACTCAAACACACAGGCTGGCTACAGAAGTCTAAGCTCCACAAAAATGTTCCCGTTTCTGTGGAGTACAAACTGTGACGTATGATGGGCTCTCTGACCTCAGGATCGGGACAGGGGGAGGACCGGCTCTTCTTCGATTTGGACCCGGCAGTCTGGTTCTCTCCATCCCGTTTCCTTTTTCTTCGGTGCTTTGGTTTCTCGGCATTTTGCCCATCTATGGGGAGTCAAAATGTTTTAGCTGCCATCTCGAAATGCAAACCAAACAGGTCACTGACAAGAAGCGCATGGAGGATGAGAAATGAAGTGGAAATAAGAAAAGATACCTGGTTTGATTGCTTACCATCAAGCGGACCTTTTGACTTCTTCAGGCGTTTTCTTGGTTCTTTTACATCTTTCAAGTCGGTTTTCTTCCTCCTTCTCCTCTTTTTGACCGTTTCCTCTGCAATTGCGCCCTGGGAAAGTAAACTCTGACTGAGTATCTCGATACGGGGTATTTCCCGAGTACCCTTCATATAAAACATTAGGAGAAAAATCTGTGCCTGGCTGCACTTCAGACTAGGGATACTCACCTGTCTCTCTTCGGCTTTGCCAGTTTTACGCCTCTTTTTGGGCTGTTGATCCTTTTCAGTTGCAGCATCTGTTAGCTGCCTTTTGGATCTCTTCTTTCTCTCTTTTTTCACTGAGAAAAAAAAAGTGAGACACTTGGTTAGATTGGTTGTACTTGACATGTCTACGACATTGTAATAACATAAAAACAGGGGAAAGGAAATGGCCGCATGGGCCCCCACATGCTTTTATTTTTAATAAGTTTAATTTTTTTCCACCCATGAACATACCAAATGAGGTTCAAACTATGAAATGTTTAGCATTAATTTCATATCAAACAGGATCTTGCATATATTGTCTGATTTTTTACGTTTTTAAAGCCAATTAATAAATGAATGACTAGCCCTCCTTCGCCCTTTAAAACAGCCAGGTTTTGTAGAGCAAAGCAGGACATCCAACATCCATTGATTTTTGCTCATGTTCCAATTTGATCAACCCTGATGGCTTGCTTTGATCGGGTGCATGGTTTCACCTTGACACCGACCTGGAACTGAAACGAGAAGCGAGACTGCTTCTGAGTTTTCGTCTGTCGAGGGAGCCGAGTTGGTTTTCTTTTTCGCTGCAGGATTGCGAGCTCTCGTCGCTGAATTTTTCTTTCTCCTGCCTACTTTGGTCTCAGTCTGAGCCTCTTTGGGTCTTCTCCTTCTCTTTTTCTGAGGTACAACAGGTTCAACTTGTGTATGCGGTGCAGACGTCACAGGATTCTGACAAAAAACAAAAAGAGAAAAAACAAGGAAATGATTCAATTCATCATTTGTTATCAGAAAAACAAAACAATTATTATAAGGATAATAAAGTATAAGAATTTCAAATCTGTTTCCACATCTCTAAACATTTTACATACTTTCACCTTTACTGCAAGTTTATATCCATTTAAATTGGACAGATTGAGGTTTTCGGTTTATATAATAATCTAAGACACAGATTATTTTTAGGTGTTTAGTCAAAGAAATAATTTGGTTGGTCCTTTTCCTAGTTTCGTGGTTTTTGTCTTATTCTCTGTTGAAGTGCCACCTAAGAACAGATGAGAATCCAGTTGAGGCACTCACTAGCACTGAAGAGACACCTAGGCCGAGTCTGGACTCTGCCTCCTGGTCCATCTTTTTACTATGTTCTGGCCTCAACTTCTCCAAGATTTGGGGGTTCAAATGAGGCCCGTTGTCATCGTAAAGAAATCCAAAGTTCTCCATGCGCTTATCCAGCGACAGGCTGAGAGCCTCTTTGGCCTGAATGACGCCCATGTTCCACTGGGTCTTAAGTTTGCGGGGTACAGAGGGGGATGTCTATGTTAAAAAAGGGTGGGAAAAACAAGGTTAAATTATAACCTACAAATGCCAAACAGAGCTGACTCAAGATGTTCTCATTAAAACATATTGTAGGAAAACACAAAAACAAAACAAACGTTTGAATCTTTTTGAGTATAAGAACAAAAAGGTAGGGGGTACCTAAGATTTACCTTTTTATGGTTGATGTGAGAAGCTGGCTGTTTGTTGCCTTGAACAAGCTGCGGGAACTGCTCCTCCCCTTTAAAGGGCACCATATTCTTCTCAAATATGTATCCTCTCTCTGGAGCATCTCCAAAGTACTGCACATGGTACAGGATGCCCAACTTGCTGTTGGCTATTGTAAAGATAAATAAATAACAATAAGATGTTTTTTAGGGGTTTCCATTAAACGCGAGACCCCAACTGGTGAGGGCTCGGGTTCGAGCGAGGGCATTTCACCTTTATGCTTCTGTTTGAAGTGAATGTTGAATTCTGGGTCTGTGGTCACCATGCAAGGCCACCAGGGGTATCCAGAAACCTTTGTCCAAACCAGATCCCCAACTGAGAAATGGGTCAGCAAAGGAGATTCTTCTTTTACCTGCTCCAGCAGTTTTGGCACAAGAGCAGGCTGGAGAAGAAAAGGAAGAATAGATTCAATTACACATAAAGACAGGAGCAAACATTTCCAGCATATTTTTACTACTAATTCACCGCCTTAATAGTGGCTAGTAACTACACATAATATGTTGAGCTCATTTTTGAGCACTCAAAATTCAAGACTCGCTGTGGTTTTGAAAATTCTTCATTACTTCACGGCCGATAAATCAAGTGATCCTTTTCACCACATGAATGCTTAGATCTAAAAACTAGCATAACCACCATCAGAACAGAACACTACAATCTATCTTAGTTACTGTAACACAAAAATAGCAAGCATAGTTTATGATCAAAAATACAAATATTGCTCTTTTCTGAAAAGGTAAGACTGAAACTGAAACCTCATCAGCCGCAGCAGTTTCCTCAACAGCATTTAGGGGGGTTTGTGGCTCCGAGGGAGTTACAGAGGGGCTGCAGGTTATTTGGGGCTTGGGTTTGAGAGGTCTCCCCTTGCGTTTCTTTACGTCTTGCCTCTCGTCGGGTCCAGATAAAGCATCTTCAGTGGCCGTGGCCAAGCTGGGCTCATTAGCGCAGCATGGAACAAACAGCGGCTGCTGCACCACCTGGGGCACGGTGGCCTCCAGTTCGGGCTCAGGGTGGGGCGTGCAGTTGTGCTGATGGGTGTCAGTAGTGGTGGGGGCTTCGGCACCCTTCAGCATCGGCGGCTCCGGCGTACAGAGCTTGGGCAGCGTGTCCTGGTCGCCGTTCAGCACCAGCGAGGTGAGGTCTTTGAGCCTCTCGTGACCGTGGTTGTTGTGGCTGTGGCCAGCCATCTTCTGAAGAACGCCGTCTTGTAGTGTGGCAGCCAGCTGTGCGGCAGCTTTGTCCATTAGCAGAGCTGGGTCACTACCCATGTCACCCCGGCCTTTGCGCACGCTGAAGGACTCTGGTGGCTGCTTCATGCTGACTGGGTTAGCTGGTTCAGGCATGGAAGGCAGGGAGCTACCTATGCTGTCCATCCCATACAGCCCCTCCAGGCTCACTGGGCTACAAGACAAAGGACACAATAAATGAGTCCCCTCCCAGATGTTCAGCACTCAATCGTGTTATTCAGCACCACATGATTTTAATCTGCAATTCAAGTTATTAATCCTATAAGCATGGCGTTAAACACTTTTACAAAATGGCACTGACTTGCTCAAGCTGAGCATGAACCGTGGGCAGATACAGAATATTGCACCTGTCACGGAATGTCCAAAGGCGCGTAGTTTTGGTTGCTTTTTTTAAAGACAAAGAGAAAAAAAAGTAGAGCGACTTCACTGACCCAAACAGTGAAGCAATATCACTTCTTTGCAGCAAAATATTAAACCATCAATAAAAACAAAGCTTGGTAAACACCCCGGCTGAAGTAATTAGGTCAAGTCGAAGCATATTGTAGATTACATCAACGAATACGTGAAAAAAAAAATGAAAAGGGGACATTAAAAACAACGAACGGTCGTTGACGTTCCTTACCGCGATAATTTTAAGTTGGCTTTCTTCTAGACGTGGGCTAGCTAACTGTTAGCTGCAAGCGGTGGCAAAGCGGTATGGAGCGGGCAGTCTGCAGGCTGCACCGTTTCCAGCGAATGTCTAAGAAGTGGGTGGCGAACTGCGCCGCGGAACGACCGCATTACAGCTACAAAAGCCGCGGAAATGTGAGCAAGTGACAAGCCGGAGAGCGAATAATTGCTGAAACGCGACGCATCCCCACTGAGTTCCTCTCGTGTTTATTGGTGCACCACAGGACAATGCTGCTAACCTTGGATACAGCGGTGCATAAACAACAAAAAACACAGATTGAGTTATTGAATAAAGTTGAAGCAGAGCTAAGACAAGTCTTCAAAACAACTGCAAATCTTAAGAGTGTTGATTGCTAGCATACAACAACAACTTTCAATACCGTGTCATGCTAAAAAAAAGAGGCTCTGGCTATCACCTGAAGAGGAAACCCCGATGAGGAATCTCGTGGATTCTAGCCACGGACAGGCGGAAAAGTAATTCCCTACTGAATCGCATCTCTGTCATCATTACAGTCAGCCATTACACCGGCCTCCAGCAAATAGACAAAGCCGGCACCCAACTGCTAAATAACGCTAACTTCTTGGCAAGTTGAGTCAACAAAAAAATCAGAATGGTCTTATATAACACCGGCTGATTAATCTTGTTTAAACTGTTACTCATTCTTCCAGAGATATACCTAAATTGCGGGCGCCATGACAGCTTACTTCTAAAAAAAGCTAACGTTGCTAGCCAAAGCTAACCGGCCAACCATTGAAGCTACGCCAAAATGCACATTATCGCTAGCACAGCTTAGCTAGCTTGCTAAAATGGAAGGGTGGCCTGAACTACAACAGTTGGAAAACCCATCCCCGCTAATGTTCTCAGAATGACAATATCATGAAAGACCGCTTCTCTGCAGTTACCTGTTCAATATGCTCTTCGGTGGTTAAAGGGAAATAATGCTCGTATTCATCCTGTAAAGCGAAGATTTTCATTCAAGTCGTATCAAAAGCTTGCGGGAAACTCAAACTCTCCGGCCAACCAGCGCGAAAAATACTCACTTCCGATTGGTCGGCAGCAGAACGAGGACCCAACCGGTCCTTTCAAAAAACCCAACCGTAGGAAGTAGTTGGCCCCACTGTCTCCCTTCTCTGTTTCCGTGCAGTTTCACAAGCTTTCGTCTTTGCTACATTTATCATAATATGATTTTAACTTCATACGTGTATGTGCATTTCAAAACAGATATATTTACAGAGTGCAAACACTCAACCCTTAACGTTTTAGTGCACCGTTTTAAAGATATTTTCTGTGTTAAGGATGCAGCACAAATGGTTCAGCATTGCATTGTCCTTCTACTTTAGTGGTTATCCAAAGATGCTATATATTTTGTTAGACCTCTCAAAAGAGTTCAATCTTTTACGATTTAGGTTAGGCGTATTCATCACAGAAATGATGGAAATGAGAGATACCTCTTGTAAAAAGAAGAGTGCTGGGGATGGCACTTAAGAGCAACACTGTGATTCAGACTGACGCAAAATGCGTTGTCTGATTTTCTTAGAAGAGAAAAATTTGGCCTGAATAAACCGGATCTTTTCCTTTATGTTTTAGTTCTCTCTCCTCTTTTTTCTATCATTTTAAATGTTGTTTTTGTTTCTGATATATTCCAAATGAACCTTGATCCACTGAAAATTTGCACAAAAAATTAATCACATGCAACAGAAACAAGTAATCCTTACAATAACTATTAACGCTGATTTCAAGCTTTAAAACAGTTCAGTAAAGCATTTCGAGCACAACGATGCAATCCAGTGGCCGACAGGGTGCGTTCGACGCTATTAATCTATTCTGGTCACTTCCGGCAAAAATTTGCCTTCCAAAATAAAATGATCTATCATCAGTTGAATAAACGAACCATTACTATCATTCAGATCCAAAATTTAAATTCAACAAATTAACCCATCCATCCATCCATTTTCGTTACTGGGGTCAAGGAAGGCAAATTAACTCATACAACAAAAATAAATAAATAAATAAATAAATCCAAATTCTAACAAATAGGAATACAAAATTAAAGTAATAACCAAAAAGCATGTAAAAGTAAAGTTTTTAAAATCAGTTTTATTTTTTAGAATATGTATATTGTGTTTACAACTTACAACTTGCACCACTTTTACTGGGTGTGTGGCTAATTGGAAAAAATGCAAGGCTATAAAAACTGAAATTGTATCATGCATAAAACATTTGCTGTATCAAGAAGTATAACTTTAAATAACAATGCCTATACAATAAGACAACATTTCACCAAAGCATGCACAGATCTTTGAAAAAAATGCTGAGTTAATTTGTCTAAATTTCTGAATACAATGACAACTGTTTTGTCAGGTTTTTTTTAACCTATTAGTTTATACTCAGGACGTGATTCAATCTAAAACATCTAGTATAAGTTTATTGAATTAGAAAGGGGGTGATTTTGAGTAAGCCCAAAGAATGAAGCTTCAACCAAACAAACCCCAGGAACATTAATTTTAAAGGAAACAGGAAGTTGATGTCTTCGTAGCACGCTGCTTCATCAGCACGTACAGTTTGACGTCATCAAATGTCTGGCCCGGCTACTGTCACTAGCGTCAGAGAGAAGCAAGGACGTGACATGGAACTAAATTTTCCACTGAACAGTTATATATGTTTCGTAGCTTATTGAAATCGACTTAACGATTGACTATTTTCGTGTTCCACCTTAGGGGTGCTTTGGTTTCGATATCAAACAAAGGCTTTGGCTAGCTGACTGACAAGCTAGCTTCTAAGTTACAATACTATTTAAAGATAGCGACTTCAGACTTTAAAGCATGGCGTTAATCCTGTTTACGAGGTCCCGGACACCGTTAATCAAAACGTCCCGATCGTTAAAGAACGAATTTCGGAAAGGTAAAGGTAAGAATCCTTTTCCCGTTTTCCCGTTTCGTTTAAAAAAAAATGTCTTCGTAGTCCTTATTATGGCTGTGGACAGTTAGCTTTGTTGTATGTTAGCATCCAGCGGCGTTTCGTCTTTTTTAGTAGCAAACGGTCTTGTGTTAGCCCTGTCTACGTTTTATGGTATTTTCAAGGTGACAGCAAATATCTGGGCCTCACATACTTAAAAAAACGAGTCATTATATATATATTTTTAAATGACAACCAAGCAAGTATTTAACATTAACGTCCAACTGACTTGAGTTAACAGTCACCTCAGTGACAGTATAGGGAGGCAAACATGATCAAGGATTAGGTGATATGAGGACAGCTTAGTTTAGGTCTGACCTGAGAGCGCCCCCAACCCTTGTAGACTGAGATGATGCTGTTGCTATGGTAAACAGGCCCCTTTGATTAGTCAGCTTACACAACAGCTCATTGCTCAGCAAAATAAAAAAGGCTCTGTTTTGACTCTGCCGTTGAATGTAATCGAATACCTTATTTTACTCCATGCGGTTTTAAAGTGATACAAGTTACTTAAGTGTGAAAAGGATGTGGGCTGTTTCTCCAAACTATTCAGTGATGCATGTGTTTAAAGGCTGTTCTTGATTACTGTATAGGTCAGAGTAAACGTTGTTCTGTAAGAGTATGTAACTCGGAGTGCCTGTAAAGAGCTTTGCCAAGTTTGGTCGCTGTTGTATAACTAAAGCAGATATCAATGTGATGTCTCCATTGCACTTTGGTTATGTAATCCATAAGTAGATCATCGTGGTCTGTGACTGCCATTAAGGAATCTGGAATGAAGAAAGAATTTATATCTGCTGATCGGGCATCCTCAGTACATTGAGTCTGTTCGTATTAATAGATTAGAGGGGGTCACTCTGAGGACTTGTCTGTCTGCGGTGAGGGAGAGTATGCTCTTGGCCGTAGGCCCAGATTAACAGACAAATTGCATGGCTTCCTGGCATAAAGGTCAGTGCCTTTTATATCTCCACCTGAGACGGACTGAGCTTAAATTTTCCCAGTCTCTAAAGTTTTTCTATGGAAGAGAGTGGTGTTGCATGTAATTATGGATCTTAAACAAACGCAGGGCAATCTCCAGAAAATTCAAGCCCAATTCTTTTCAGGTTTGTATGACAGCAACCAAAGAAAACCAGTAAAAAAAACCTGCAGGAGAAAGTTCCCGCATAACCCCTCATTACATGATAAACTTAAGGGAACCTTCTCTGTTTATACACAGTAGTCAATTAACGCCATTACCTTTAATAATTGTCTGTCTCATAGCAGTTTTAGATCTAAAAAGTCAATTCATTCATTTTGACACATGGAAAACATACTGTAATTTAGCCCCATAAACCCGTATGCAAAATGTATGCGATCCACGTTAGTGACTTGACTGTAAGGCCAGAGAGTGTAAAAATGAGATCATTAACTGAGAAACAATAAAGTTTAATCTCTGATAAGGCCATGACCCCAATGGATTGTGGACATGTGTCTTACCAGTCATTTCCATGGTTACATTACCTACAAAATATGCAGCTTTGTAACTTTTTATTTGCCTTAAGTGTACTTTTTGGTGTGTTATTCAGAAAAGCAAATGAGAGCTCTGTTGTCTCCTCTTTAGATTTCAGTTTCTGTAAGGTTGATTTTGGGGAATTATCCAGAAATACCATGTTTTACAGGGACTGGGAAAGAAAGACGCATCAGACCAAGAGCCTCCAAAGCCTGGTGTTTAGATAGTGGTGTATTCCAAATGAATTTATTTAGAGCTCAATGTCACATTTGTGTGAAAGCTGCATTTTGTTTTACAAGTGATCCGAGTCTTTGTGAACGGTTATACTCTCAGATTGTACAGCTGCGTGAACCATACAGATTTTTGTTAATTTAGTTTCTAATACATTAGATTACAGGACAAAATAAATACCATATGGTCCTTAACAGCTGTTGAAGTAGGCATATAGCCTTTTTGTCACAAGCTGACCGGAGTTACTGAGGTTTTAGTCAAATGTGTCTGACCTGACATATGCTTGTTTGTATAAAAAATATTTCGTATAATTTTGTTTTTGGATTGGCTGCCGTCGAGCGGTCGGAGCTATTGAGCTGGCTCATTAAGTGGCAAATGAAGAAGTTGGATTTTCTACCTTTGAATTGGTGAAAAGCTTTTTTTAAACCAATTTTTCATTGGAAATCAGATACGTCATGAAAAGTGAGTTTGAACTGTCTTTTATGGTGTTCTATGTAAATGCAGCATCATTTGAAGTTCAAACAAGAAAGAAATATTAAGAAAATGGGTTGGAAAACTAAGTTGTTTCCCTGTACAGCCTGGTGAACGAGGAATTTTCAGACCAGGGCCCAAAAAACAACAGGGTTGAGATTTCTATGAGTTTTCCAGTTTTGCTTGTTTGTTTTTTGTTGGAAACTCCAGAGATCCAAGTATATACTCCCAAACACCAAAAATATTTTTTTAATTTTGTTTTGTAACGGCAGTAATTGCAGCATCAGACAATTGACATTACACAACTGTTTGTGATTAAAGTTGAAACTGAACAAATATGCAGAAGCAGTGTGTGAGAATACAAAACTTTTGCAGCAATCATCATCCATCTACGTCACATTTTATACGTTTCACAATGTTATGGAGATTTTTATTGATTTATTTTGCTCATTCTTCTTCGAAATTGAGTTTTTTTTTTTATATTTGCTGGTGCGCATGTACTCACAAGTCTCTTAAGGCCCATCATAGTGTTTCAGTCAGGCTTGGATCCAGGACCACTGCAACACTTTGAGTCTTGTATTTTATTTATTTTTTGGGATATTATGTTGCAGATATGCTGCCGTGTTTTGGATCGTTGTCATGTAACATTCCGTCAGACGGCTTCCAGTTTCACCCTAGAATACTTTAGTGGAAGATGGAATTCCAAGTGCCTGGTCCTGTGACTGTAAAAGAAGCTTAAACACTCACTCTTCCACCACCATCTTTTTGGCTGTCATGTCCAAAGAGCTCCAAAAGTCTTCTGTTTGCTCACGTTAAATTATGCATTCCTAAGCTGCGCTCTCGCGGTCTTTATTTCCTGGAAAACTTTTTCCTAATCATGCTATCATAAAGTTTAATATTTGACAGGCAAACTGAAGCCTCTGAGGTATAAAAAGTAGCTTTGGTTTGTTTTTGCCTTTTTTTATATATTTCTTTAAGGAGCTATTGGGGTGATCTAGCTGAAAGGTTTACATTTTACAGAACAGACAACTATCTAAATTGTTTTTCCACTCTTGATAGGTTTGAAATGGCCTTCCTAACAACTTCCATTATTCACATGCAGCAGCGATTGCCCCAAAAGAAATGGACCTCTGATGTCTTTCCTACTTGGCATTTGCGTTAATGCACGCCAGAATATTCTACACCAGCAAACAAATAATTTCTATGGTGGGAAATGTTGATGTCCCTGCATTAGAAGTGGCAGAGGGTGCACTTTTCGTCTTACTGTGTACACAGTCGTAAAGTTTCCAGTGGCCCGAGAGACAAAGTGAAAGTTACTTGGATTTAGCACAGGTCACTGCTTCTGTTTCAAACAAGCTAAAATACTGTGTGAAAGTGTATTCCATCTTAATGTAATTCATTGTATTTATACAACCCATTTAATCACATGCAAACCCTTCCACAGGAAAATCTAGTTCTTGCTAGGAAACACAAAAGAAAGATAAGAAATGGACCTGTTTGGTCATGTGTACCGCTCTCGTGGGGTAATTCAGTTGCCTGCTTAGCGCCTTGAAACCGAAACAGCTGCACAGTTGGAAGGGCTGAGGGTTCACACAGGGGTTAGCCATTGCCTGTGAAAGTCAAAACAGGCGGGAGACCACCACGGAAAAAAAAATCGGCCTCCGTTTGAACCGGGAACGAATCGATGTCACAGAAAAGACAACAACAGGAAGTACAGGGAGAGCTTTGCCGGTTTATTTCCAAAAAAGAAAAAAAGGGATATCAGATGCCGATTCAGAAGGTGCAAATATGTGGGCAAAAATCTGTAAAAGCAACAAGCGAGCACAGCTACTGTATTTCCAGGCCTTTCTGTCTGTGCTACAGTAGGCTGTTCCAGTAAACTCCTGACTGCAAGTCACAGTGTGTAAAGCTCCACCAGCCATTGCTGGGTCCTCTCCAACCGGCCACGTGAGTCAGTGGGAGGGGCGTGGCCCAAGCAAAAGGGGCCCCGCCATCTCATTTGCCGAGCGCGTCTCGCCACCCCCCCCCCCCCCCCCAGCGCCCACAAAGTTGGAGAGCCCCTCTGAGGTGGGGGCCCTCCGAGGGCGAGAATATCCTGTTGATCATGAGGCATGAGAGTGATGCCCTCTTAAAGAGTTATTTACGGACAAAATGTGTAACCCAGTAACGCGAGAAGCTCTGGAAACATTGTACACATGACAGAATAATCTGTTTTACAATGTTGTGGTCTGAGTTAGTTGTATTTGAGATATTTCTTTATGTTTTCTTGCATAAGATGGAGGAGCAGTGAGCTCGTGTTGGATTATGTAATCTCATAACCGGTTACATGCACTGCATGGTTCATGGCGGTGGGGTAACAAAGCTCCTTACGTGCTTTCAACATAAATTTCCTCTTTCGCTGGTGTGATGTCTTTTTATTCTCCAGAACAACTGCGATTGGTCTTAAGTGTTTTTTTTCTTTCTCCTCCTTTCAGGTAAACTGCAGGATGGTCCCTGTTTCAACTGCACGACCCTCAGAGTCGCCAGTCAAAAGTAAGCCATTTAATATAACTTGGTTGAAGGTTAAGCCAGTCTGTTTAGTTTTGGAGCTGTTTGAACGTGCAAACCTGACTTCCTGTCTCGCCCACGACTTGGGAACCTGTAATCATTTGCCGTGTCGTCCCGTTAGGTTCGATGGGTTCAGACTCGGCAGCCTGGGCCACATCTCCTCGTTCAGCCCCTCCCCTCTGATGCCAGACGAGTACGCGGGGCCCGCTCCGAACTCCGAGCCACAGCGGCTCTACTGCGCCTTAGCGGCGGCGCCTTCCGCCTCGCCGTACCCCGCCACGGCGCCGGGCTCCCAGTGGGCCGTGGTGCGACCGCGGGACATCCCCGGCGTCCGGTGGGTCCACACCTCCCGGAGGCGGTGGGACGACTCCAAGGTGGAGAAGTCGCTGCGCTCGCTGAAAGACAAGAAGAAGAAACTGGAGGAAGGGGGCCCGGTGTACAGCCCCACGCTGGACGCCGAACCCGTCCGGAGGACCATCCGACAGAGGGTCCTGGACGAGGTCAAGCACTACTACCACGGCTTCAAGCTCCTGTGGATCGACACCACCATCGCCGGGCGGATGCTGTGGAGGGTGCTGAACGGGAACCCCTTGTCCCGACGCGAGAGGAGACAGGTGAGGAAGGAGGGAGGCGGCGGCCATGATCCTCTCAGGTTTTTTTTTCCCCCTTTACTCCGGGGAAGGTTTGCCCAGACGTCCTGTCCCTCGATGCTTATTCCACGGATCCTCTGACCTAATGGGATCAATTACGGAAGTTTGTTGTCCGCCCGCTGAGTGTTTACACAGCAGCCGTTGTACAGCCTGTCTGCTTGATTAAAGCTCTTTAGGGATGAGCTTTAAACGGTGCAGCTGTGATCGGATAAATCTGTTCATCCGCCAGCCCTCCGGGTTCTTTCATTCATATCAAGCGCCTCATTGTTTATCTGAGCTTTGATTTGATCCGAGCTGGGATATTGTGCTCCATATCACGTAAAAAAAAAAAGAAACAGGTTTTATTCTAAACTCTTGTTGTATCCTCATAAAGAGTCTGCATGAATATAAATGATGCTATCATCCATCCTTTGGGAATAAACACATTTTATGATCACCAAAATGTCAAAATGGATGAAGAATGAACAGGTTTTGTTGCTGCTGTAACCTGATGAAGGTGTTTCATGTAAACGTCAGTTCAGGGAAGGTGAGGCCGTCAGCCCCGGTCGCCCTTATTGGGCCAGCATTCATCAGCGGTTCAGGATTTAGGAGAAACCACTGGCTACCTGCCACCACTCCCACAATTGTGACTAGTAGACTGTTACGTGATTTGTCATTTGCTGGCCCTCTTCAGACATATTTCCGTTTGCTTTCATTTTAATACACTCAAATTCACCAGTTGCTATTTAACTAGCTGCAGGCAGGTTGAAAACAATGCAAAAAAAGCGGACAATCGCACTGCCCTGAGCAGTAAATTTCTCTATATATATTCAGATTTTATATCAAACCACTCCGATTCAAACAGTTTTCTGCACGCGAGCCACTTTGACCATTTCCAAACTATCAATTCAAGCCTGTAAAACGCTTATTTTCTCTTGTGAATTTTTATGTAATGTCACGTACGACGATAGTCATTTGCTGCCCCAGAGAAAGCAAGATAACTTTTTCTGCTACGTGTGTATCCCGGAACAAAGATCCGGTTTAATCGCTGACTGACCGACAGGGCGAGTTGTTCTTGCTAAGAGTTAAGTTTTAACAAAACTTTAAACAAAACTTTAACTTGGAGGACAAAATGGACATGAAGCCTCACCAGAGTTCTTATGGGTGATGATGACCACTGTCTCCCCCCCATTAACCAACACCACGACCGCCCCCGCACACCTTTTCAAATGCAGCAGGCCCCCTCAGAGCTTGTGTCCCAAACCCATCTACTCTCCATTCACCTAACGTTAGCTGGCCGTCCCTCCTTAATCTCTTGCTTTTATATTCACTTCCAATACTCGGGCCTCCGTTTAAGGCTCCCTCTATTTTCATGTGTCCTGCCCTCCTCCCCGCCTCTTTGATGCCAGATTCCGGGGTACGATATACATCTCAATGGGCCCGTGGACAAAGGCCTTTTCACTCGGGCCGGCCTGAATCCCCCCACCCCACTGGCCCGCTGACATGCAGGTGGAAAGGCCAGAGAAAGGAGGAGTCATGTTTTGGCCTCCTCCCGTTTCTGCAGATTGTGTCAGCGGGACGGTCAGCGAGCCACCGTTGGACAGCGCCACAATGCAGCCGCCCGGTGTCGGCCCGGCGCTTCTGTCCCTCAGAGGATTGTTCAAGTCCGTGCTTAACTAATGGGCTTCCTGTTGCATAAAGAGGACGGCTTTTCTCTGTCATGCGTTGGCAGAATGTTCACTTTGGTCTAAAGCTCGGCGCAAATAAAGCAGCTGTGAATCAAGTACAGTCCGAGCGTGTGGGCACGGGATAAAACTGCTGACTCCCAAAACTGTACATAGAGGCACTGAGCAAGGCAATTGTATGTAGGGACAAAAAAAAAAAAAAAAAAAAAAAACGTGGTAAACAATTACTTGCCTGTGGTGACTTTCTCTGAGAAATGCTGCTCTCTGCTGGCGGTTTATGTAAACTACAGCTCGGTGGAACTGGATGGTGCTTGCAGGTTCATGTTTTGCTTGCTTTAATAGCTAAAAACAGTTCATTTGTCAGAACTGACCAACAGCTAATTTAACAGTCAAACTTAGGCATTCTCTAATTGATCTTTTCTTCCTCTCAGTTCCTCAGAACGTGTGCCGACGTCTTCCGGCTGCTTCCCTTCCTGGTGTTCATCATCGTTCCATTCATGGAGTTCCTCCTTCCTGTTGCTTTGAAGCTCTTCCCCAACATGCTGCCGTCCACCTTCGAGACGCAGTCAAAGAAGGTATTCCGAAACCTTACCTGAGGCAGAGAACTTCAGCTGGCACGCAATCGCTTCAGGGCAACATATTGGTTAAAATCTGTTGATTCTTTTAAAAAAAAAAAGAAAAGAAAAAAAGTTGTTCATTATCTTTGCTTCAGCTCCAAGCTCAGTCAAAAAGACACAGCCATTGAATTCAGCCATTTACCTGTGGTTTTATTGGATTAATTTATTTTTTGTTGTTGTTTTTAGGAGGAAAGATTGAAAAAGGAGCTAAGGGTCAAACTAGAGATGGCCAAGTTCTTGCAGGACACCATCGAGGAGATAGCGCTGAGGAACAAAGTTGCTCAGGGCAATGTGACGGAGGAGTTCTCCACCTTCTTCCAAAAGGTTTGTGCAGGCTGGTGTGCGGCTCGATGCACCTTTCTCATAGTTTAGGGTACAAAAATCCAATATTTTAGAACAGAGAAATAGTTAAAATCCTTTGAAACAGTTAGCAAGCAGTAGCTTGTTTTCTTTCCGTAGATCCGGAACTCTGGGGAGCGTCCCAGTAACGAGCAGATCATCAAGTTCTCCAAGCTGTTTGAAGACGAGCTGACCCTGGATAACCTGACTCGGCCTCAGCTGGTGGCTCTCTGCCGTCTCCTGGAGCTCCAATCCATCGGGACCAATAACTTCCTCCGCTTCCAGCTCATCATGAAGCTCAGGGCCATCCGTGCAGACGACAAGGTACCCTGTCACCCTTTTCCGAAAGCCAAAACGAGCAATAACGCAGACGGCCTTTGTTTTTCCATTCGGATTTGTTTATTCGACAGTTCTACTTTCCGGGCCCAGCTCTGTAAGACCTCTGTGTTCTGTTTACCCAGCTAATAGCCGAGGAGGGAGTGACGAGTCTGAATGTGAACGAGGTCCAGGCCGCCTGTCGCGTTAGAGGGATGAGGTCTCTCGGAGTCACCGAGGAGCGACTGAGAGAGCAACTCGGCCAGGTAACGAACAGCAAAGCACAAACAAATGATCCTTTTAAAGCCGGAATTCATGAGGTATTCTGAAAAGCTCCGATTCATCGTCCAATAGCCTCACAGATACCATTTTTACGGGTGTAATGACCATCGCAACGGTCTCGACGACACAGAAATAACAAAGTTGCCTCCATTTTTTTCCCTCTGTTATAGTGGCTGGAGCTGCATTTAAACCAGCAGATCCCCACCTCTCTGCTGCTCCTGTCTCGAGCCATGTACCTCCCCGACACGCTGTCTCCTGCCGATCAGCTGAAAACCACTCTGCAGACGCTTCCTGAAATGGTGGTACGTTGACTTTAGCCTTCTCGTTTCAACAATGTGTCCAAGACACGCAGCCGTTACCAGTTTTGGCCGTAATGATTGACCCTTCTCCCTTCTCTCAGACCAAAGAGGCCCAATTAAAGGTGGCAGAGATGGAACTCTCCAAAGTGGACAACAAAACCAAACTGGAGACCACGCTTCAGGAGGAGGCGGCCATCCGGCAGGACACCAAGGACCGGGAGATGGAGAGGCTGGCGGACGCCGCCGAGAAAGCCGCCAGGGTAACCACCGTCCCTTTAGTATACAGCTGTTATCGCTCCGTTTGATCCGCTCACAAACTCGCTGTCCTCCGCAGGGGGCCGAGTTGGAGCTCGACTCGAGGAGGGTAAAGCACAGCGAGGTTACCAGGGCAACCCGTTCTGAGACGCTGAGGGATACGGCTCCCGTTCTCGAGGGGATCAAGGTACGCACACTTGACGTTACATGGGCGATTTTTTTGCATTAATGCAGTTTCTGACTCTTTTTTTCCCCACTATCGACTCACTTGCTGTGCCACCTTTTTTCTTTCAATCTGCACCGTGCAGTTTGATCAGTGGCAGACGTTTCTGCGCTACCAGGTTTGGTTTGACAATCCTCATTCCTCCTAGTCACTCCTACCAAAAGTGTCCCTATGTTTATTGTCTTTAACCTTTCCCATTTGCAGACCTGGATGTGGGTTAAATGGCTCCAAGACAGGATGTTGGGATAATCCCTAATTTCTTGGAAATTTAGTTTGACCTACATCTACATGGATTGTCTCCTCTCTTTCCCTTATCTATCCTTGTGTTGGTGTCATTGACACAGTTTTAGTGGGTATCCCACCACCTCTGCCCTCGTTAATTCGTCCTCCCTTTTTTTATTTCGGCTTGTATTAATAATTGGAGAGACTTGAAAGTTTAGCATTACCTTTAGTGAGCAGTTGTCTTTGAAACACCGTAACTGTGTCCGTTTCACATATCTCACGGTTTTGTTGAAAATGGCATTTAACCATGGCGTTTCTGATGTTCGTTAATTCTGCTTTTACATTTTCAGGGTGAGGAGATCACCAAAGAGGAGATCGACATGTTGAGTGATGCATGCTCAAAGCTCAAGGGGCAGAAGAGGCTTCTGACTCTGGAGAAAGAGGAGCTGGAGGACCTCAAGGACGACGTCCAGGAATACAACGAGGTAACAGGCCTCGGCCGTACCGCGACATTATCATGGCTGGCTTCAATTAAATGTTTATTTTTTTAAACAGTGGCCTCATTTGAATGCCATTCGTATCTTTCCCAGGACCTGGAGGAGATAAAGATGGAGTTTTCTAAGACCGGTCAGTCCAAAGCCATCGAGGAGTCGAAGGCCAGCCAGCGCCTGTCAAAGAGGGTGACCCGTATGATCGGCCGCATCGACAAGATCATCCTGGAGCTGGAGAAGGACAAGGTCATCCTGGACGGACAGGTGGACAGTGGAGCCACCCCGCCTGTTGGGTAAGTCGCATCTGAAAAAGCTTTACTCCTCTTGCTCCATGTCCACTTTGTTCTTAATGTTAGCTGAAAAAATACAACAAAAACGTATTTAGACAAGGCTGTTCACAGTTTGGGAAATATTCTGACTTGATTTGCATTTTCTTTTTTTTCTTTTTTAAAGTATGGCCCTGAATCAACTTTGTGTATCCTGTGTCAGTCCAGAGCTCAGTTTAACACTTTATTTGAAATTTTTCCCTATTTTATTTGACATTGTTATCAAATTTTTAGCATAATTTAACATAAAGACCCAAATTTAAGGTTTACTACCTGGAAAGATGAAAGCAAAGAAAGCCAGAATATTCCCCCAAATGCTGAACTTTTCTTTTAATAAGATAACCTTGAGTCATGGCTCTATAAATTGGTGAGCCATGTTTGTCTTTGAGCTGTTGAAAGCAAACGATTCTAAGGCAACTTTGGAGTGGAGAAACCGACGCATTTAAAGAGTCTTTTGTCAGGAAAAACAAAAAGAGTTTGTTTAAATAATCTAATCTAATCTAATAATCTAACCGTCCCTTCTCTTATCAAGATGTTCTCCTTGTTCCTCTTATTCATCCTCATTAACCTCCCAGTGACCAAAAAGTTGTAGAAATGGAGTAGAAAAATACTTCTTTCATCCCACATTGGGGGAATTTCAAAACGCTTAAATCTCTGACGGTCTAGAGAGAAGAAAAGTTGAGCGAACGCTCACCATTTCTTCTGTCCCAGACCTCACAAGCTTTGTTTTGTGTCTCCCTCCCCCAAGTTGTGTCTCCCTCTCTCTTACGAGTTATTGTGAAGTTTACATGGGTGCGTGTAACGTTGCCACCTGAGAACGCGGAGACGGTAAACTCCACAAAGTCCCAGTGGGTTCAAAATAGTTTCACTTTACTCCCAATGTTGCCCGTGGATCATTTCCTTTTGTTCTGCTTCAACCACGGCTGTTTGTGGAAGACTCATCATTCTCATGATCATCATTATTCTCATCATTACCTCTCTCTGTAAAATGGTGGTGGAGATGACATTAGGAACAAAAGGCATCCTCTCTCCCTTAAAAAAAAAAAAAAAGACGATTGTTTTCTATACCTTCTGTGACCAAACCCAATGGCTAACTGGTTTGAAATTTCACAGATTATTCTTTACTAAATATAATGACGCGACAAGGTAAGCTGAAACGCCTGCTTCGCTTGTCAGTGCTAACACTGCATCATAGTTCTCAGGGGCTGAGATTAAAATGTAGTGACCAGCCATGCGCTTCCCGTATGTTCATAGGCTCTTAATGTGCTCATAAATTTACTCAGCAATTAATGAAAGCACAATCTAAAAAGCGAGATAGACCCCGTATCCCCCCCTTTCTGCTTGGTTTGCATCATTTCGAATGATTTGGGTGCTTGACCATTGTCAAAGATGTTGGAGTATTGGATCTGCATCTTGCAGCTGCACACAGCTTTTGAGGCCTAATCAAACAGATCGAACTAATTAGCCTGTTTTAAAGTTGCCCAAATGCAGCTTTAAACGTAAAAAGGAAAAATTCAACCAATCACACCTCGGCATGAATTAACGTACTAAATCCAAGCCGTTCCTGAATGGAAATGAAATTCGCATTTGATTGACTGGCGTGATCTGGGAGCCTTGAATTGCGGCCTGTGGACCTCAGGACTTCTCCACCACATTTTACGCGCTCTCAAGGCCGGTAACTGTTTCCTGTATGCAGTCTGTTCTACACCTTCAGGGAGAACCTCATCAGCATCGACGAGCTGATCAGCGTCATGCGGCAGATCCAGAGTATCCCCGAAGACAAGCTGCAGAGGATCGCCGAGGCCCTCGACGACAACAAAGACGGGAAGGTCGACATCGACGACGTCATCAAAGTACGTCGGGATCAGCACGGTGTGCCGTTTACCGAGAACTGGTTGTTTCTGGTCTTTTTTTCCTCATCCGTGTGCTTACTGAAGGAAGTTATAACGCTTTTTCTAAATTAAAGGTAGAACCGGTTACAGGTAAAACAGGACCTGCGTCCATCAACCACCTCTAATGTGCTCAGAGTTTAAGTGCTTCTTTTATAATGCTCCTTTGGATATTTACAAGGTATTAGATCTAGGAATTTAGAGGCTACAATAAACCATTTAGGTAACTCAATTTCTAAATAAATACTGAATAAAAATGCGTTTCCGGTATAACAAATTATATAACTAGCATTTTTGAGATTACTTTAATAGCATAAGTTTTGTTTTTTAGTTTTTAACAAAGTGTATAAAAACCCTAGTATTAGGTCTGGACTTTTAGTTTTCGTTTTCCTAGAATCGTATTATTGTCTATTTAAATGTGGTTAGAAAACACAGACAGGGCTTCACGTTACCTCGAGGAAACATTTGCTGCTCTACTTATCAAGCATGCCAACAAAAATTGTTTTAAAAAAAATTGTTTTTAACCCTAACCCTTTTTTCAAAGTTTGTCAAAAAGTCAGGCTCCACCAGGCAATGGATCCGACAGCCCGTCTCTTTCCACAAGAGGAAAACGGAAATTTGACCGAAAAGCCACAATGAACTGACCTAAATAAGCAGCTGAAATGGTTTTGATGTTCGGTTACTGCTATGATGGTCAATGATTTGGGGGATATTGCAATACAGTGACAAAAACAAATATAAAGTCATTTACTCTTTATAGACGCATTTTGAAAATTAATTTAAATATTTTAAGACTGAAGCCGAATCATTTAAATGAAATCAAACCAGCATTGGATCACAGACAATAAATAGAATATTTTCTAACCGTTATGGAAAGGTTCCCGATTAAATGCATAGAAACCATCTCCTCATCTATCCGTCCTCTTTGACAGGTGGTGGAGCTGATCGACAAGGAGGACATCGACATCTCCACCACGCAGGTGGCCGACATCATGGTCATGCTGCAGAAGGAGGAGAAGCTGATGGGGAAGGAGAAAGCCAAAGAGAAGGCCGAAAAGGAACAGGCAGCCACACGCAACAGCTAACTCTTTTTCTTCATCCACACAGCGAAAGAAAAAAAAAACTGATGTCTGTGGCACAAATAACTCGACAAGAGATCTGAACAAGCTATACTGGGTAACACCTGCCTGCTGAATGTTAGCTCCCAGAGATTATTTCTGGGAGTTTTGAAAAAAAAAAAAAGAGTAAATAACAAAAGAAGGCTTACTGCCTTTTAAAAATGCACAAAAACGAACTTGTAAGAAAATGAACGTAATGTTATACTTTTTCTGGTGTGATCATTTACGATATGCAGATACTTGATTTTTGTGTAATTTTACACATGTATTTATTTATTCTGGGAACACAGTAACTTGGAACCGTGGTCGCAACTTTAGAGTTGGTAAAGAAAAACCGTTTATGGGAATATATCAGATCCAATATTTTTAGGTTTGTGGTGAAACATCATGCCTTTCATTGAATTATTTTGTCATCTCAAAGAAATGAGACCTCATTTCTGGACTTTGCACAGTAAACATGATTGTCAGCATGGTCATTCCATTCACTTGCTTTTATTCTCATTGTTCATCCTTCATCCTATTGTTTTTTGTTTTTTTTACTTATACTCTGGTAGCTGTCAGATGTTTAAATGGTAGTTGCAACCAAAGAAATAATTGGCCACATGGCTGAAAATGACCTATTTAAGATGGGAAATGTAATGATTTGAAGATCTTCCCCAAGACAAACAAAAAAAAAATCGGATTTGATTCTTTCTAGAGTAAGCGTGCATTTGTCCAGAAGGCATATAACAGAAGTTCTATGTCAGTGAAAAGCTTTGTAGTGTTTCTTCTATTTTTTTGTACTCAGCAGCTTAGTAGTTTTTGCTAATTCTTTGAGTAGTAAGCAGGTCCTGGTATTCACCCACCTATTTGTACATAAATCACCACCTGATATTTTGTCAGCCCCTTCAGAAACAGCTCTGATCTGGACCCTTTTTTTAAGAGTCTTGTTCTCATGTTGTGCATGTGGATCGGAATGCTCCATGCACATCCCAAAGAGGCTCAGTCGGCTCAGAATCGGGATCTTTATGAGTTTTAGCAGCCTTGCTAAAGGTTTCCCAACAAAATGTTAGCAATTCGCTTCATCTTGAGGCTTTTTTCGTGTATTCTCTTGTAGCTTTTTGTAAAAAAAAAAAAAGAAAGAAAGAAAAAAAAAAAGCCAAAGTTGCACTGTAGCACATTAAATAACACTTTCTGCTTATTTTTTTTCAAATCAAACAAACAAAACCAGCCAAGACTGACGGGCTGCGCAAAAAAAAAGTGTCAGGACGATAACAAGTGCAGAGACGCTAAATGCCAATTCAACCGCTCCAGTGACCGCTGTCATAAAATTCCCTTTCATAGGTGTTGGAACTTGGCAGAAAAACTGATTGAAGGTTTCGGTTTTAGGTGTCACAGAAGCTGGAATTGCGCACAAGTTGTATAATTTTTGTAGTCTTAGCCTGTAAAGGTTGAATGCACAGTGGCCTTCTAATGAGAAACATATTATGGATCGTGTATTGTTGTATATTTAATTTGTCTTTTTTTTTTTAGTATTTCTGTTTGTGGTCTCTGCACTGTACAGTATATGCTCTGGTTGGTTGGTTATGCTCTGACGCCACATTCCTTTCAGGGCTGAGCCTAATTATTACCGAGAAGATTTCAGAACGGTAAAAAACGTTTCCCCTTTTTCGCCCCCGAAAAAACAAAAACAAAAAAAAACAACCATTATCTTTGGCTTTTTTTTGTCGTGGAATTAAAAAAGATATTGGGAGTTTTTCCAAGTTACTGTTTCAGGCGGTCAGTTTACATGAGAATGTATTACGCTCAGGAGTGACCCAAGTGGAACCTTCGTGTAATTGACCCTAAAGTCTGATTGCTTTTGGACCTCTGTTGAATCCCGACCCCCCCCCCCCCCCCCCTCCGGACGACTGAATTATTCACTCTGAGCCCTCTGGTATTCCTCCAAGGCAACTAGAGAAAAGGTCCGCTTGTGTAAACGACGGTGACAGAGTGGTGCTTTAGATAAAGCTCCGGTGGATGACGCTTCTCTTAATCCCCTTCCCAGAATCGGCAGGGGCGATTAAGAGCTCCCATCCAGGTTCATGCTCGGTGGTTCCCCCCCCCTGGCCCCGGACCGGTCCAGACGGATTGCCCCAGGGTAGACGTTCGGCCCATACATGGGGCTCAGCCAGCTCCTGTTTGGGTTAGAGGGGCTCTGGCGGAAGGTGGCACGCTCCTCGACGGCGTTAATCAGCGGTCAGTGTAAACACGCCACGGCCAGCATCCACGAGTGCCCGACGGGGGTCCTTCGGGGGGTTTCGGAAAGGATGAAAGCGACCAAATCGTAGTGTGAGGGATGCTGTTTGGGTCGATTGGACAACAAGTCCTATCAGGAACTTGCTGCTGGAAGTAGGTTCAACTTCTAGCTTCAACTTCCCTTTAATTTTACAAGCAGTGAAAGCCCATAAATGACCATAATCTTAAAAAAAGATCAACCCACAGAATATGGTCACCGTTCCTAGTTGAAACCCTAACCAACTCGGCAACTGTTTGGATGTGAGATTTACAATCATTTAATGCTCCGACTCACAGTGCAAGAGTGGATTTAAACCTAAGACCCCCCAGCCCCCCAAAAGTTGTGTTTGAAAATGTACTCAACGATCAAACCAATTTAAATCATCTCAGAGCAGAATTTTGGAGCAAAGTGCCAGGTTTAAACCAGGTACGCCAACGATTGGCTGGAGGAGAGGGCTTCTTTATTCACTGCGTTGTTCCCGTTTGAGCTGTACGGGGATTTCCCCAAAAACGAGCAGCAGTTTAACAGTAAGTTGAGATCGGGATGGTTGAAAAAACAAACGAATAAAAAATGACTAAGAAAAACAGGGTTTTTGCCTTGTGCTCTTTCAGTTTTTTTTCTTTTTTTTTGTTACCGTGGAAAGAAAGGCTGACTTTTAGCTCGCCGGTGGTCAGTTCACCTGTTAATGTTGTTGTTTTTTTTGCCACTGTGTAAATGCACTATTCAGTTTTGATATAGCAGACGTGTACCAAATAGTTGTAGGACTCAGGGGGGAGAATGTTGAGTGTGAAGTGGCCGCTGTGTCGGCCGTGAGCAGGGAGAAATATACCGTACAAACCGTCCTCTTTAAGATTCCCTTTTTGAGTTTGTGGGAGGAACAATTATTCCAAGCAATAAGTCTTTTATGCACCACGTAACCCTCCTTGAATTTTTCCAGTCCCCGACACTTAACCAGTTTGAAACGAGATTGCAGTATTCTAGAGTTACAGATGCCTTTAATGGAAGTATTAAAGCTTTGGTATTGGATGCAGCATACAGAGGACTGTTGCGTTGATGTGTTGTGAGAGGATATATAAACGAGTATTTTTGCACACAGGTTTTTATCACGAGAAGAAGAATGCATTTTGTAGAAAACATGTTTTTTCTTTTCTTGTCATTTCAATAAATTGAGTTTTTTGGGGGTATTTCTCAAGTATTTTGTAGATTTCTTCCTGAAGTGTAGAAGATGGTATCTAGATTTTTACAGCAGTTGAAATGGCTGAATAGTTACCAATAGGCCAATGATTTTATATTAGACATATGTTCTCTGGCAGCAAGATTTCGATCGAAATATGAGGTCATTAAAGACTCTAAAGTCCATCATCATTTACCTTCAGTTTCCCTTTTCTCTTCTTTCTGAACATGCTAAAAAAGTAATGTTTAAAAGCCTCAGCTGGGCCACTGAGAGCTTATGTGGCATTAAACCCTGAACACATCTCATCACTAATTAAAAATAAGTTTAAAAAAAAACATTTTAAAAGATGTTTAGCAAGTAGGTGTAGCGTAAAAATTAAGTTTACTATTTTTTTTTATATGCATATTTATTTATTTAATCAGACTTTCCATTGCTTTCATCCCAGAGTGGAGAATTTAGGATGTTCAGGACATGATTTGACACGAGGTACTGGATTTGATTTTAGTTCAACTTCAAAATGAATAACAAATATAACTTTTTTTTTTTTGACTCATCTGTTGTGTTTCTGTAAAGCATTATTTACAAAGTGGATCATAAGTGTTGAATAAATTGTGAATGATCTCTTTTCCTTTTTGGTTTGGTTTCTGCTTTTCCATTTCATTCCCCTTTCATCCATTTCAGTGGCCTTCATTGACATTCAAGTTTTTCTTTTTTTTTGTGTAACGCACCCCCAGAATGTAACCTAATCCCAATTTCTTTGTTCTGAGACAGTCGTTGATGAATTGGCTATTTCAGTAGACTAAAAGCCACCCAACCCATTTAAAAAAAAAAAAATCAAAATTTTCTATTTCCCTGTCTAAATAGATATTCTCTCAGAAAGCTCGGTCCGAACATAAAAACCAAAAACATGAATTGGCTTGGCTACCCAGCAACAATGTGTCCTAACTATTTCATTGTTGTCTTTCCATTTGATATACATATGAATATGAATATACATATGAATACATATGTCTTTTTCCCCCCATTTTAATTGTAACGATGGCATCAAACTAGATACTTCATATACATCCATATATGTGTATATATATATATATATTTATATGTATGGTTGGATTCTGACTATTTGGGGTCAGATCCACAAGCTACAGGAATGTGTGTAAGTACATAAGTGAAACTAGTCTTCCTTACAGCTTAGGTACTTAATTTTTTTTCAGCTGCTCAGCTCCATGTTCTCTTTGGTTACTCTACTATAAGTCTTAACTTTGGGCGTCTAGGTGCATAAATCCTCTTTACTGCTACTGCTCAGCTTTGAAGCGATGGCCTTTAAACACCTGCCGAAGAAGCCGAGAGCTTCTGTGTAGTCGGCCGAGTGTTTTCCTGCTTCCCTCCCGCTTTTCTGTTTCCACTTGTCCTTACGCGTCCGCATAGGATCGAGGATATTTACACATCCGTTGGTTTCTTCAGAAGGGTGTGAAGGGTTTGTTTGGGGCTGCCTGTCAGAATGCCCTAACCAGCTCACAAAGATGATGAGTCAGGGTTGTTGCCTCTTAAATGCGGAACGGCGTTGATGTCGGGAAGCTGGCCGCTCCGGGGGAGTTTCTGTTGTCGAAGAAGCAACGTTTCTGACGAGGAGGCGATGATTAAAGAGGAAGAAAAAGACGCCTTAATGCTTTTGAGCTCCTTCCAAACGGTAAAAATGATGATGCCGACAGTTTTATGGGTCTAGTCTTTCATCAGGTTTCTGATGACAAGGGGAGGATTGCATTTGCATCTTTACAAATTTGAGCCAGAAAAGCGTCACGTGTATGATTATTAATGAACGTTTGCACTATTCGCGTTTGATTTTGTCTTTTTAGGTGGTTTTAGATTTGTTGATGGAGGGTTCAGGGTAAAGAAAACGCGACAATAACAGATAATAGTCTGGAAACGGATGGGAGTGATGTTGCTTGTGAGTGGGTATCGCACATCCTACAATAAGTCCTCTCCACAAACAGGATTCTACTTGTGATTGTTTCTGCTTTGATAAGTCAACCGGGGCAGGATGCTGTTTAGGAAATATAAAAAGAAATAAACAGGGTATGCTGTGGATGAATCCTTTCCTGTTATAAGGTGAGGAATTAGTTTTGTAAGAGGCTAATTCATATTTTGGGGTTGTGGTTGAACAATGAATGAATTCTATTATCCCTTGAAATGTCCAGAAATACAAATGTGCCTGAGATACTCCGAGCTATTTTACAATGTAAATTCATTGAATTTGCAGCCACATAAAGGCTTTTGGTGTGACCATTTTTTCCACCGTAAAATATTCCCCCAAAAGCACACATAATTCCAATTTTGGTTGATTAAATCATTTTGTTGTAGAATTTCAAGTCAATAGCGTGCTATTTTCTATAAGATTAGAAGAATGTTATTTTCTTGCGTACAATCTAAACAAACATGTCTTGATTTTGAACAGACTTTTAAAAACTTTTAGCCCAAAAGGGAAGTGATATCATGATTGAGAGCAAAAGAGAAAAAGCTCTAAAAAGCTAATCTAAGGCTGAATTACAGAAAAAATGTCCAGCTATAGCCCACTTGTAAAGTTTATCATATGAATCCGCACATGATTTCTTGGAAAAACAAAAAAATCAAGCTGATCTTTTTGTCTCTTTGTCCATGAAATGAACTCTCCAAACAGCTTTAGAGTTTTAAACAAATGCTTACACTGCATGCAGGCCTTCTTCAAAGCACAACTTCACTGTAAATAAGTTGGAACCATTCAGTAAGTGTTGCTCACCTAAAGGTAAAATTAGGACGCACAGTCTATCTTTACCGTGAATTAGGTTCTTGGATCAAGTCATATGTAAATGTCTTAGCCTGAATAGTTACAATATAAAGGAGTGTATAACATTTTCTTAAAGCAACATTTGAAGGACGATTCCTATTCATGGGAAGTCAAGATAAAGATTAATCCTGTATACATCAGACTGTAGTCACAGCTTCAGTGTCCATCATGCGGTTAGAAAATGTTCCCAGATTTGTGTTTAAACACAAGAAGGCAGCACAACTTGTTTTGATTTCTTTGCATTTTGTAAATGACCTGTTTTTTTCCCGGCTGCTTTTTGGTGACAGTGCTTCGAACACGTTGTCCACGTTTGCTGATTTGAGCAAACCTTGGCGTTTGATGCCTTTCATTTGTTTATTTGACGAGGCATTTGTATTAGTTCAATCGGAGTTTGTTGGGGGAAAAAAAAAGATAAGGTGTTGTAATGTGTTACAATAACACGTAAAATAACTGACGATAGAATGGATTGGCAATAAGAATGATGGGAAAATCCCAATCGGCCAAATAAAAGGAGGTCAAAGGTTGCACCCTGTAAGTGTTAAGTCACTGTTTGACCACCTGAACAAGCTGGTATGTGATGGATCTTGTTTTGGTGGACACGCAGGTGTTAATTCTCTCAGTATACAGCTCCACTCAATTTTCTGTGGTGCTTTACTTTGGGCACTTACCTTTGTACTTGTCACAGTGAAGTATAGTGCTGAATATTTCTTTCTCCGGACATTATCTTTCGGTTAATGTATTGCCTCGTTATTCATCGTTATCTTCAAACTGTCCTTGCTTCGTGGTTGAAGTCCTGAGTATGACAGGCTTCCCGTTAAGCTTCAGAACAGGCAGAAAAACGGAGACGCTCTTGAGTCAAGGAGCAGAAATAGCCAACGCCATCCATGTAAATCTTCACAAAGCGGCGTCAAGCGCAAAGAAGAAATATGTCCCTGTTTACAGTGTAAGCCGTTTACCACGGATAGAGGAAACACGCTCTGTAGTTTAGCCGCCATGTGAAAAAAACAAACAAACACCGTCTATGTGTTGTGCTCAC